CTTAGCCCTTTTGCTCCTTTGCTTTATGGTGCAATTTAACATCCCTGTTTTCAATAAGGTCTACTGTTGGAACTGTCTGAGCCCCTCAGTTTGAGTGGCAGGACCCACAGGCCTCTGGAGAAATCTGTTTCCAATTATGTTGTGTATGAAACATCTATTGTTTTCCTGAGCGATCCCAGAGAGCTGCTGGGGGATTCAAGACGAGGCTGCCAGAGCTCCCAGAACCCCCTCCGACTGGGGGCTCCACATTAACACGCCGCTAATAGCCTCAAGTGTGGCTGGCTGACTGACGGAGGAAGACAGGGGTTAGGTTTCACAGACCCTCTGGTTGTGTCTGGGTCACTGCTGCTCAGCTGGCAGCCCGTGGAGAGCGTACATAGCCCCAAACCCTCACGGCTCGATTTATCAAACTAGCCCTATGTCCCCATCGACCTTGTTAAAAATGAGCCGTCTAGACACTAACAGAGGTGCGTTGTTAAACACGACACGTGCACACACATAACCCCAAATATATTAATCATAGCTTCCCCTCTTTAATGAAAACACAGCACAGCCTGATGCATGCCTGGCATAAGAAGGTACGCTTCAGACGTCCTGCTGTTGTTCTCCAATGCAAACCTCCAGAGTGTTTCATCTACAGAACACATCAGATTCTCTCAGCCAGCAGGAAATCCATAAACATGAATAATCTATATCTACTGCCTGTGATCACATGAGAGGTAAGAAAATCCATTTGACGATACTGAAAAGTTGTGAAGAGTGTTGGAATGCTTCTCACTGTGTTCAAAGAGATAAGGGAAATCCATCAGTTATACAACCCAAGGCTTTGAATTTCGACCGTGCACAAGGTCTGTAAGTGCCCTCTGTTTCTTTTGATCCTGCAACTACCTCTTCCTGCCTCCAAGACAGACGCGCCCTGTGCCGTTCGACTTTGAAACTGCATCTTCATTTCCATGCCGCCATCATGTAAAAGGGGGCTGCTTTCATTAGAAGCCACACAATTACGGGAGACATGTCTGTGCCGTTATCAGTCGCTGCTTGTCACCTTATCAGCTGGCGGAGCTACAGTAGCATGTCTGCACCACTGAATCAATTCTGAGGCTGCTTCTCCTCCAACTTTGATGTTCAGTTGCACAGCAGCCGTGGAGAGACGGAACCGATCGGTTCTCGTCTGAAACGGCAGCTGTCGAGCCTATCATTGTTATCGAGCAGAAAATAAAAAGTAACAGACACGGAGGTCTGCAGAGAGGTTTCCAGGAATACTCAGATCACACGATGCAGTTCCTGTAACATGTTTACCATGTGTTTACTGATGTTTAAGGGCGTTTCCACACCACCAGCAACACCAAGCTGACCCCGATAAATGCTTGTAGATGGAAAAACAGCGATTCATGATCATGGTGGGTATCAAACCCTTAGAGCAAGGGTGTCGAACTCCGGTTCTCTAAGTTTTAGATGTTCCCCTCTTCCAGCACACCTGATTCAAATGATCAGGATCGTTATCAGGCTTCTGCAGAGCTTGATGATGAGCTGATCATTTGAATCAGGTGTGGTGGAAGAGGGGAACATCTAAAACATGCAGGATTGCAGCCCTCGAGGACCGGAGTTCGACACCCCTGCCTTAGAGAGTGATGACAACTTTTATAAATGTGTAATATTACCTCCAAACACTACAGTCTGTCTTTTGACTGCAAAGCTGAGAACATTTAGAGGAACAGACCAAAGTGTGATTGTAGTTCTTAACCTCCTTGTAACCGGCGGGTTGTGTCTGCCCGTCACTCGGAGTCGCTGTGTTCCTATCGTGGCATTTTAGCTCTTTCCAGGTGCCGCACCAGGAGCGAGTTCCCTAATCAAACACAAAGGCCGACACAGTGTATAAGCATGGGCCGCACAATGGAAGATCACGCTTGTCTCCTGCTGCCGTGCTGCCTGGTGTCGCCTGTCTACAGAAACCGAACAGAAGTCGAACGCCGTTTGTCGCTGTGTTGTTGTTGGTAGGGTGTGATACAGCCAAGGTAACTGCCAAACATTTAGTAAATCTTTAAATACTGTTTATTCAGAACTAACGTGTTTCTGTTTTTGCAGCTGTGACGGCCGCTGCTGCTTCGTTGGTTTTATTAACTCACTCAGCTTTTATCTGATTTTATTTAGGTGGTCTTGTGGTGCTCGGTTTTATTTAGTGATTTTTAGCAGAGGTGTGTGTTTTTTTTAAAATTATGATTATTACTTTTAGATCGTTTTAATGGTTTTACACAGAGGTGTCAATTAATATTTTATCGGCGGCAGTGTGGTTTTACTTATGTATTAATTCGTGTGTTTTCTTGTTTTAGCTGGTTGGTTTGGTTTAACACTTTTGCTGCATGATTCGTCTGTCTCACGCTACCTTTTTAAATCTCCATTGCATCTCTGTGTATATGATTCTGAATATTGTTTTCCACCTCCATAATTTAACCACTGAAGCCTGGTTACGTTCATTACCTCGACCGCTTATTAGAATAAAGTAAGAGCAACACGTTGTCCTTTTTTGCTCTTTGAAATTACGACTAAAATCACGTCTCTGTTCCCTTTTTTTTTTTTACTGTGACACTTACCTGTGTGGGTTTAATACAGTAACCTGTTCTCTGGGTAAGATTTCCCGGAGTGGCGTTGTCGAGTGTTTTAGTCGTTAGTTCTAGCCAAGACATCATCTGGTTACATCCTCTCTGGTCGATGAGTTAACCCCTAAAAACTGCATGTGTCAAATGTACATATTTAGAATTTTGATAACATGAAATTAGATGTAGTTTTACATTACCTTGATCAATGACGTGCTTGAGCACACCAACTCACCTATAACGCTGTACAAACGTTGGACACCTACACATGGCCCAGTTTAAGGAACATTTAAGGAATTTCACCCTTTGAAGCAGATAGTCATTTCCCATAAGAATTGATCCATTTTCTTCTTATTTAGAGCCCGTCATGGTGGCAGCAGGTTAAGCAGGGCATCCAAGACCTTCCTCTCCCCAGAAACAGTTTCCTCTGGGGCAGAGCCGGCCCTAGGCATAGGCAGTATAGGCAAATGCTAAGGGCGCTGACATCCACGTGGGGCGCCACAAGCTTGCCAGGCTAACTGACATGTATTCAGGCAAGTATTTATCAACAAGCGGCGATGCAGTTTCTCTACCTTTAGCAGCAAAGACGTTACGTTAGCGTCTTAGCTGCTAACGTTCGCAGCAAAAACGTTACAGTAGCGTCTTAGCTGCTAACGTTAGCGGCGAAGACGTTAGCGAAGACGTTAGCGAACCGTCTTCGCTAACGTCTGAAGACGACGGTAGAGGACCTGCATCGGCGCTTGTGGTTAAATATTTGCCTGAATACACGTCAGTTAGCCATCGAGTGTCACAAAGACTTGTTTCTTCAGTTTCATTTAGTGTGGTGTTTATACTTAAATAAAAGCTTGAATACATGCATACAGTTTGTGTTACTGTATGAAAATTAGGAGTGAAATTCACTGTGATGCTAGGGGGCGCTAACTACAATCTTGCCCGGGGCACCAAATTGGTCAGGACCGGCCCTGCTCTGGGGGATCCCAAAGCGTTCCCAAACTGGATGAGGTAGGTAGTCCTCCCAGTGAGTTCTGGGTCTCCTCTGAGGTCTCTTCTCAGTTGGACATGGCCAGAAAACCTCCAAAGGAAGGCACTAAGAAGGTATCCTAATAAGACGCCCCTGACCCACCTCTACTGGTTCCCTTTCAAAAACGCAGCAATGAACAAACTCCTCATCCTGTCTCACTGGGCACAGCCGCCCTACGGAGGAATCTCATATCAGCTGCTTGTATCTATGATCTCATTCTCCTCCTCCACTACTCCTTAAAGAAAGGATTTTGGGTAATTTTCTCGTTAATCATGTAGTTTCATCTCTCATTTTTGGGTAAAGAATATATTTTTTAAATACACTTTCTCCTTTATTGAACAGGAAGCTTTGCAAAAAACACTGGAAACAAGAGGACAAAGATAAGATGTGCCAGATCTGCATCTAGAATTAAACCAGAGAGCTATTTGTATGCGCCTCAGTCGTAAAGGCCCAGCCCCAGCCACGATTAATTAATACTTTGGTACCTGAGGGTAGTGAAATTTAAGTACACAGAGTCGAACCATGTTGGTATCAGCCTATAAAATACCCATATGTTCTTTAATTGGAGAATATAAACTCCCCCGAGGCTGATAACGGCCCCAAAAACAATAATGAAGTGACCTTTGTGTCCTCATTGGGAGCTTTGACCCTTTGGCATAGCATCAGATAGAACCCTGGGAGTCGTTTTAACAAAGCCAAACAACTACAGTCATTTCAGGTGGATCCAAATGTGCAGACCTGACAGGTGTGTTCAACAAAGGGAGTCAAGTGGACGTTCTCTAGGCTTCTTAACAGTCCATTTTAGGTGGACAGCATCCTCGTATATTTATTGGTTCTCCATGATGGAGAACACATCACAGTACACATAAAAGACTGAAAGGGCTCCGTCTTGAGGGTCCACATTTAGATTCAGCCTTTAAGGGAAAAGAGAAAATCTTGCGATGGCTCCATTCCCAAACCAGCGGCTCGACGCCAGCTTCTACACGGAAACACGAGCTGCTCTGCGCTGTGCTGGAGGTAGGCGTATGTGTGACATCTGTGCTGAAATGCAAGTTTTTCCAAACGCTGAGGTCAAGAGAAGAGGATGAGCATTGCCTGGTCGTGTTGTCATGGAGACCATCGGAGAACACAGATGATATCTAGGGCTTACTTCAGGCAAACAGAGACGGGATGAAGACTTCTACAGTTCTCTTCAATCATAACTCCTGTTTGTCCTTCCTGGCTCAGTAGCCAAGCTTTCATCTGCTGCATTCAGAGCTCATGTGATGGCTGGTTTTTTTTTTCCTCCTTTCAGTCCGGTAATGAGCGCTGCTGTGTACCCATTCTGAGAAGAGGATGGCTACTTTGTCAGCTAAACCCTTCAACAGAAATACCCAGAAATGAGATGCTTTTCAAATCAAGGACATTTATTTAGACAAGTTTGGCCCATAAGAGCCACAAAAGCATAAAGAGTTTCACTTCAAAAAGAAAATCCATCCACAATCCAAACTCACATCACCCCCCAGGAACTGACAACTCTTATATCTGCAAGTTGTTTCCTGGCAGCAATTAAAGCAGTGGATGTGTCACTTTAGAATGAAACTCTTCAAAAAAAAAAAGTGTGTCAGAACTGAAAGAGTACAAAAAGAAAAATCATTGCACAGTATTACAATGCAGTAGAAAAGAAAATTGCATTAATGGCATGACAGAGAGAAAAATACCTTGTCAACCAGTGAATCTCAAGAGGCACATATTGGAGTTTAAGAGAGCCACTGGCTACGTTCACATGCGCACAATATGCTGCTCAATAATTAGATGGAGGTGGTTTAATTGAAGAGTGTATTTTTAAGTAAGATGATTTCCCCCATGCCGTTCCTGCTGGAGCTACGAGGGCTGATTTAATATCGGGCTGCTTCACTCGGAGTCTCTGACCCTTTGAATGCAACACATTTGGAAAAAAGTAAACAAAGTCAAGCAGAGATCTGGCGTTCAATCAGCTGATTCTGAAAACAGCTGATTAATCGTGTACATGCATGTAGACAATATGTAAACAGCATGTGGTTGGCGTGCAAATACTCACTGTGGTCCTGGTCTGCGTAACCCCTCTACCCGACCCCGAACACAACGCAAACACAGGAAACATGAGAGAGAACACAGGGGGTTGACAAGATATACAAAGGATTACATGGTCTATGTGCTGCTTTCATTTACAGAACGTAACAGGAGGCTGTAACTGGGGCTTGACCGGTGATGGGGTCTCATGTTCTGAGGACCACTATCATTCCCAACAAAATAAATTACTTAAAAAACGTGCTTGATTGGCTCTGAAACAGCTGCTTTTTGCTATCTCAGGTCACCAGCATGTTCGGTCCACAGCACGGTCTCACTGTCTGGCTACGCGTCGTTAGTTAAAGCCCATCAACACTGAAGGATAAATGCTGAAAAGTTATCTTTCTATTAAAAATATGCAGAACGTAAATAAAGGCATGAACAAAGTGTTTGTGTTATTCTCAGTTTTGACAAAAAGATTTTAAATATCAGTATATATATAGTGAATATTGGTTATCAGAGTCCTTGATTACTGGTATCAGCCCTGAAAACAGAATACATCGGTCGACCCCCAGCAGAGAGGCTGAAAGGATAAATGGCTGCAAAAAGACATCCCTGCGTTCGCTAGGCCCTGCTCCCCTTAGCTCCCGTTGAGCTTTCCATTCTTACACGACACATATGCAAATGACTTGGCTGAGGCGACACGTCTTTGTTTTCAGACAGACAAAAGTAGCTTCTCGTTTCTGGCCACCGCCTGATTTTTCTGACTGATATGACAATAGTCGCTGAGCTGTAGCTGGCGAGACTCAGTTTCCAGCTGACTAATGCTCCCAGCAGCTGACTTGTTTTGAACATGGAGTCTTGAATACACACTTGATGGCTGTATGTATGTTACACTGTTAAAAGACTGAGGCTGAACCTGCCTGCTCCGGTGGATATAAGTATTGCGTCACAGTGCTGCTTCGTCTGAGTGTTATTTGTACGACAGGAAAACGGAAGTCCAAGCTCTTAACTTGTATATTTTTAACTTTAAAAGACAAAACGGTTTCACAGTGAGGACTAATCAGCATGTTTGGTGAATGTAATGTGGTCTCCAGTAGTGTTGGCTTTAATGCTAAGAGCAGGGCCTTGAGTACACGAGATTCTGCATGACATAAATTCATCATCGCCCCAAGTTAGTGAGTCCACGAGGAGTCCTCCATGCATGGATGTGCAATGTGGATGCACAAATCACAACAAAAGTCACACCATCATTTTTATATTTGTAATGCTAAAGTGACCACTCCCACTGAAACTGTGACTCACATCACAAAATCTGTAAATATAATTGCAATGTGATTTCCTTTAGCCCCACTCTACGCTACAGCCGCACCAGGTAGTGTGCCAAATGGATAAACTACTGGGGTAGTTACTGTCGTAGGGACACCTCATCCAGCATCGTGAATTAGTTTCATTTCTGCTCTTATGGTCACTGGTGATAACAGAAGACGCCCTCATCCAAACTTTTTAAATACCAAGTACTGCGTCGAGCTGCTGTGCTAACTTACAGGTGTTACCGTTATTGGGCAGTTGCTCTGTGGGGGAGGGGCTTAGCGAAGGTGTAGCGCTGCAGATACTTTCCAACTAACTGATAAAGTTCATTCATTTTGACCTTTGTCTATTTTATTCATGTTCCTGTGCATGTGTCTTTATAATCTGAATCTTAGCCAAAAAAAAAAATAAAATCATAATTTGTCTCAATTCAGAATAAAGACCCTTACAGAGTTTACCCACAAAACTAGGCGTCATTTACGTGCTGGTCCCCATCCCCAAAAACACAGAGAGCCCCTGAAAAAGTTAGAAACATAATCAAAAACACAGATATACCGTATATATGAGACACCCCTGCATGGTAACTTAGGTGTAGCCTATAGGAGAACTGTTCCTTACACGTGTAGAGAACGTTGCAGGATAACTCAGAATATGAAACAACAAAACACAACAAATATAAACACAGGACAGAAAGCAGACTATTTGTACCATCACTGAAAACCCATGTTATTCCCTTTAAACCCTGGTAACGGCAGTCTCTTCATGAGTCGATCTGAGACACATGGACACCAGACTTCCCGTCTCTGGTCCTTCAACCTGACTCTCTGTGCGTCCCTCCACTGATGATGAGGCAAAACCTGCACAAGGCAGGCAGCAAATTTGATGAAACAGTGGGTGGTAAATCCCCAAAATATATTCCAGATCAAGAGATATTTTTAAAGTGATGACTGATGCTTGGCTTACAAAGTAGACCACCTTGCAAACAGCAGCACAGTTTCATCAGCGTTGTGGGCGGTGGCTGGTGTATTCCTGCTCCTCTTAACAAGACCAGCAATATCATATCCAAGTGCTTTGGTGCAAATGATGCAGATCAGAATTGCTACTAAGAACTGAGTCTAAATTTATGGAACATAATGTTCTTTGTGTGTAGAAAAAAAGCCATGAGCAGAAAATAGTTTCTAAACCATCATGTGGTTTAAGTTTCATCCAGTATGTGAAGCTGAGGAATGTACTGGCCAGCGACAGAGAGCGCCCACATTCCCACAAGGCTTAACGGGCGTGAGAAGTCCGATGGCAGACGGCAGGGTTCCTGTCACCACTGTCACATTATTGTCAAAGGCCCTTTCAGTCGCCCACATCGCTGTCCTGGTCTCCTATGAGCCACAGGAAGTGGAAGCTGAGTGCCAGCAGGGCGGTGCCCAACAGGTCACCCAGAGCTGTCAGGTAAGGGATGGAAAAGCTGTCTGGATCTTTGCCACTCCGCCACATGGAGTGAACCATCCAGTCTGCTATACAGAGCAACAGCAGCACCTGCAAGAGAAGAGAGAGGAGTTAGATGGCAGCTTTATATTATGGCTACAACAATGTGGAGCAGAAAATCAGTTATGCATTTAACCTCCATTTGACCAGAGAACACTGCTACCCCACTTGATACCTGTATGGTAAATATGTAGCTGGAGCAGCAGGTTAGCTTAGCTCGGCACAAAGACCTGAAAAAGTAACATCCTAGAGTTTCTGCTGCTTGTCTGACAACTGGCCCTCATCTACCAAGACTGTCATGCATATGTCATTATGTGGCAAACAAAAAAAAGGAAAATAATTGACCTATTGGACTGTAGCAGTGCTGGTAGGCAGTTTAAAGCTGGCTGCTGCCCCCATTACTCTGACTTTACTACAATGGTATCAGTCCTTTCATCTCTCAGCACAAAGGCGGCAGTGTGCCTTTGTGCATTTCCTGTGATGTCCAACTATTTAAATTCCTGAAATTAAGCTCAATCATGGTACAAACCAATAAAATGGAAAAATGCATCCTTTATTGTAAAGATTAGGTCATTATGGGTATTATTGGTGGTTAGCAGCTAGAAGATCCCCAGTTCACATCCCGGTGAGGACACCAGGGATCTTTCTGCGTGGAATCTCCATGTTCTCCCCGTGCAGTGTGGGTTCTCTCCGGGTTCTCCAGCTTCTTCCAAAAACATATTGAGGTTAATTGGTGATTCTAAATTGTCCGTAGGTGTGAATGTAAGTGTGCTTGGTTGTCTGTCTCTAAGTGTAGCCCTGTGATAGACTGGTTACCTGTCCAGGTGAACCTGCCTTCACCCTGAGTCAGCTGGGATAGACTCCAGCCCCCCATGACCCTAGTGAGGATTAAGCAGTGTATAGATAATTGATGGATGGATGGATGGGTATCATAGGTATTAGGTTGGGCTGCCTCAAAGCAAAGTATCTCAGAATCTTGTTTTCGAGTGACAGGAAAGTGGAGTGTAAGATGGACAGACAGATCGGTGCAGGGTCAGTAGTAATGCGGGAATTGTCCCAAGCCATCGCGATGAAGAGGGAGCTGAGTCAGAAAGCGAACCTCTCAATATACTAGTCAATCTGAGCCGGAAACCATGAGGTCTGGGTAGTGACCAAAGAATGAGATTGCAGATGCAAGCAGCCAAGATTAGTTTCCTTCGTAGAGTGGCTGAACTGAGCCTTACAGACAGGGGGAGGAGCTTGGACATCCAGAGGAAGCCTGGGGTCCAGACAGATATTGGAAACATGCACAACGGTGGGTGTCTCTTTAAAAGTATGAATAATTTGTGAAACCAGTTTTAGTAGTTCTAGTAAAGTGGATATGGGTCTTTCTAAAGCTGGTCATCCATGTTGACCCACTGATATTGGCCCGCTAAGTGACCACGGTTGTTATCAGTCATATTCTGTAAACTGAATCCAATCAAGGAACGCCATCCTAAGAGCTAATTCGGTGCAGGCTTTAAAAGCAGCAAGCAAACGGTACATGTCGATGATAGTGGTGATGATCAGTGCAAGGTTTTGGTTGAGCAAATGCTTCTCTGCAAGACAGATGCTGCATTGAAACTAATCCAGTTTAAAGTAATTAATAGGCTGTATTGGTCTGTAATAAAATTATAAGCATCAGGTCTGCTGCCCTCTAATTCTTGTTGGTACTTTGATTCCAACCTGAGCGACGTGGTCCATGTGATTTCCAGCTGCCAGCTGGGAACATGTTGCGCAAAAGGTTTGCAAGAGTTTGGGCACTGAGGTTAGCTTCACAATCTTTGTGCTTGAGCAGGACATTTTTAGCTCAGCGGAGGCATGCACTGGGAGGGCGCTGTCAGTCTGTCCACCACTTTGGTCCAGACTAAAATAACTTAGCAACCATTGACAGATGTCCATGAAATGTAGTACAGACTGCAGTATATAGTGCCCAGAGACTGAGTTTGTATGACTCTGATGATCTCCTGACTTCATCTAATGAAACCTGCACACTGAAATGTCCACTCTCCATTTTCTGGATGGATTATAAACTATCTGTGGGATATTCACAGTTCCAAGACAATGTGTCCGAATGACTAAACATGCTCCAACCCAATCCGAAGGATGTATATCAGGGTGGACTTTCTGGCACATCCTCATGGCCTGGTATCAGCTACAATAACGATGATCAAGTCGGGACCCTGTTCTGACCGAGCTCTGTACTGTTTTTCACCCTGCCAGGGTTGCAGCACTGCTTTCCTTTAATCGTTCACTCCAATATTTTATGGCAAATTATACAATGGAAATGTCACAAATGATCTGAGATAAACAGATTTGTAAACTCTGAGGCGAACAAAGCTGCTATCTCACAACTATCCAACTCATTAGCAACAAACAGTGCACAAAGCATTCAGATCGCAGCTTCTCATTTCTAGCCAGCACTAATCATTGCTTTTACCTTTCAGCAAGCATTGCTGGTGGCAGGTCATATCAACGGTTACCAATTATGGTTAATTCGGAAAGTAACCCGATGAGAGGCCTAAATGAAACTCGTCTGCTGTCAGGTCTCTGCAGCTGGTGTCTGAACTCAGCCAAAGACTGTGACGTCCACTCTGCAACAAAACTGCACAACTGCAACTGGACTGGAAGCATTTCTGAGGCTCCAACATCCGTAACATAATCATCCATATCATATCCATAATTTACGCTATAATCAAATGTATAGTTCAGGAACAGCACCTTCAGTATTTGGAAGTAGCTCAGGACAGATGTAGTGTTTTGGATTCAGATGGCTAAAACTCATATTTCAGTGTTGGGTTCATATTTAACTGACATTTAGGAAAACAACAGTTCTGCACTGGACTCAGCATCACTTTGCAGGTGAACTGCAGGTGAGTAGACAACACTAGAGACTGACAGGAAAACAAAACACACCTGATCAATAAAATACATTCTCCGTAGCTAAAGAACGGTACGGAGAGAAGAAAGTTGTAAATAAATGGTCTGCACGTATACAGCGCTTCTACCCAAAGTGCTTTACAGTGTGTTTCTAATTCACCCATTCACACACACATTCACACACCAATGGTGACAGAGCTGCCATGCAAGGTGCTGCCTGCCATTGGGAGCGACTTCACGTTCAATGTCTTGTCCAAGGGCGGGGGATTGAACCGCTAACCTTGCGATTGGAGGTTGCTCCACCACCTGAGCCACAGGTGACTTGTCAACAAGTTGATGGAAGATACATTCTGCACAGTGAAACATCTTCCTAGAGTTGATGAGCAGAGTAGTGTGAAGAAGTTTGTAGGTTGTAAAATGTAAATAGAGCAAATTGGCTGTTCATATATATATATATATATATA